TCGAAAAATCAAGAAATATGTAAGTAATTCATGATTAACTATGCACACTAACATAAGACAATAAGACAATCTGGGTTTGATATATCTGATAAAAAAAGGGATTTGACTTATCCAAGAGTTACATTCCAATGCTAATCAACATTGACAGGAAATTTACACAATAACAAAGAAAAAATCAAAAGAACTCTGGTAATTAGTCTCTCTCTCTACCTTTGAAATGTGGCTTTGGTAAACCAAGAAGCATCAATGGTGGGTGGTCGAAGAGTTATTGAGTACCCGCCTTAGTGGCAAGATAATTGTCCTTAGAAAATGTCTGCAAAGCTCATCTGTAGGACTACCTAACCAATTCGAACTACTATAATTAGAGCAACTTCGGAGGGAGTTGTTATTTTGGAGTGTCAAATCACTTATTTGTAATTTTGAACAGTGTTTTGACATCCCTGAATTATAAATCACTTATTTGTAAAGTGCTTAGATGTTTTTCCATTTTTGTGTTTGGGGGAGGTTATATTTTGAAGAATCTGAATTTTTGGCATCAACTAGTATGGTAGATAGTGATTAAGTTGGTTTTTCATTATGTTGGTTCCTATAATTATTTTCCCTTTTTAATATGGTAGCTCATATTTAGGATCACAATAACAACTCATATTGTATCGTCTACACTCGTAACATAATTGAAGTTCTAGTCTAAGACATGATTACTCTTTCCAAAGGGTTAATTGTGATTAGGCGTCAAGTATAAACATTAGTAATTTTTAGAGAGAATTACATTCAAACATTATGTAGGTTCTCTATTCCATGTCTGTCTCTCTCAATCTTAATCGAAGTTCAGTATTTATTTCTCTTAGGCATCAAACACCACATTTACTTCAAAATAAGCATGTTGATTTTGAATCACTCAAAGTAACTGCAGTATTGTCATCCTTGAGTTGGATAGTCCTGATAATTTTGATAAAGTTGTCAATGTTGTTCAATTACTGCCTTGTTAGCCAAAAAAATTGCCTACATTTGTTTGGCTTCTTGATAACATGTTTCACTTCTGATTCAATACATAATAACATCTAAGGAGATACCCTCTTGTGGGGATTATTTATTCAAACTTCCATATAAAAGTTGTATCTTCATCTTTCTAAGTATCATACAAGTACATTTCATCCTTGTAGGTTTTCTAATTGATAGTTTCTATCTATTCTCAAGTTCTTCTAAATTAAAAACTTATTCTACATCCGAAACTAATTGAAATGGCGGGGAAACAAGTTACCATTTTGCTATATTGGGGTGAACAAATGAGTTATGGCTCGGAGGGTTTATTATACAGTTGTCCTCCCAAAGGTGGTATTGTTATCAATAGTGGTATACAACTGCTGGAGTTATTAAGCAAAATTTACATTGTAATGGGGTTGGACAGGACCCATAACAAGTTGAAGTTGACATGTAGATATCCTTTTACAGTTGAAACAGGACCAAGACCAAACATAAATACACATGTTGGTCTGAAAATTGTCAACAATGAACTAGTGATCTCAATGCTTAATGTGGTACTTGACAACCCCAACATTGCTAGTGTTGCTTTGTATGTTGAGACGGAGGACATCAATGTTGGCATAGGCAATAGTCAGACTAGAGAGTGCATAACCACAATTGTCATGTCCTACACTAAGTTGCTTAGGAGAGAGATGGGTCCATTGTTGTTTTCAACTTCTGCTGTGATGGGTGAATGTTCAAATTTCGTTGGGATGCAAGTAATGGATGAGTCTAGGTAGTACTTTTACACCCAACAAAGAACTGGAACCACGACATTCAGTGAGAACTCAGCCAACAATTCACTGAATCAAAATTTTGAAATGGGTGGGGAAGGAATTGAGTTGGGTGAACAAGATGATATCTATCAACCAGTAATGCAACAATGCCCAATTTGGGAATATGAAGAAATGTGTGCTAATGATCGTACAGATGTCTCCGATGAAGAAGAAGAGTTTGAGGAAGCAATGATTGATGAGCTGGATGATGAAGATGATAATGGTGAAGCCTTTGATGCTGTTCAGGTGGTGGAGATGCATAAGCCTTACTCTACCTCATTCACCACCACTGAATTTGGCCAGTATACTGAAGCAGATAGTTTTGTACCATTAGTTGAACAGAATTTGTGGGATCCGGTGAAGATGGAGTTGGCGAAGGGCATGATTTTTAATGATAAAGCTTCATTGATTAGAGTTGTTAAATGGTATTCAATCAAGCTGAATCAGGATTTTATCGTGGTCGAGACGAACACAACTGTGTGGGCTGTACAGTGCATCATGTACATGCAGTCTAACTACACATGGAGACTACGTGCTTGTTTTAGGAAAAAACTAAAAATGTTTCAGATCACAAAATTTGATGAATCACATACCTGCTTCTACCCTAGGATGAGTCATGACCATCGACAGTTAGACTCTGACTTCATTTGTTATAATATACTGGGAATCGTGGGTGATACACCACAAACCAAAATGTCGACAATTCAGAAGAATATAAAGGAGAAGTTCAAGTTTGATATTTTCTATAAGAAAGCATGGATTGCGAGGAACAAAGCAATTGCTAATATTTTCGGTGATTGGGACTCATCATATGACATGTTGCCAAAGTTTTTGGGTGCCATCAAGAAGTATAAACCGGACTCAATTGTTAAGTGACGGTACAACTCTGAAACTCCTGAATGTAATATTTTTTTATGAGTATTTTGGGCATTCAAAGCCAGCATTCAAGGGCTTAAATATTGTCGACCTGTTGTCAGTATTGATGGGACATTTCTGTGTGGAAAGTACAAGAGAAAACTGTTAGTGGTGACTGTTTTTGATTCTAATAAGCAGTTGTTTCCCATTGTATTTGCTATTGTGGAAGAGGAGAATACGTTAAGTTAGACTTTTTTCCTATATTACCTTCGACGGATAGTTATTAGACATCGGGAAGGGATATGTTTAATTTCTGATAGGCACAAGGGGATCCTTGCGGCTATGAACAAGGAAGATTTTGGGTGGCATCCACCGCATGGTTATCATCGTTTTTGTCTTCGACATGTTCGTAGTAATTTTAATACAGAGTTTAAAGATGCACATTTGTACGATCTTATGTGAAGGGCTGGAAAGGCAAGATAAGTTCGCAAGTTCGATGATTTAATGAACCAGATACGCAACGTCAAAGAGGAAGCTTATAAATACTTAACTGATATACTATTAGAGAAGTGGACATTAGCACATGATGGTGGACGACGGTATGACATCATGATAACCAACATTTCAGAGGTTTTCAATAGTGTTCTTCAAGGTGCTATGTATTTGCCCATAACTGCTTGTGTGCAGTCGATATTTTATCGGGTCACGAAGTATCATTTTGAACGTCGAGACCAAATGGGAAAATGGAAAGAAAATGGGATGGAGTTTCATAAGCGTGTTATAGAATGATTAAAACATGCACAACAAATGAGTCGTGTCCACGACGTGACGCCATTTCATAGGCAACGTGATCTTGTTGAAATGTCAATTGGCAGTGGTCATAAGCAAGTTGTGTGTCTTGAAGATTATTCGTACACATGCGAAAAATGGGCAATTTACAGAATTTCTTGCTCGCATGTGTTGGCTGTATGCTCTTATCTTCAGTTGCATTTTCAGCCCTACATAGATCCCATATACACTATCAACAATTTGGAGAAAATTTGGGCGCCTGAAATGTTTCCTCTAGAGGATGAGTATTATTGGGATGATCCCCCACGGCCCAAATTAATCCCTAATTGTAACCAACGTCAAGACTTGATTGGTCGACCACGGACGATGTGCATACAGAATGAGATGGACTTCCCGCCAAAAGGTCGTAATCAGATAAATTGTGGGCTATGCGGTGAACTGGGTCACAATCGTCAAAAGTGTACATCCAAAAATACGCAGGCTCCAGCATTCCTTCAGTAGATTGTATTTTGTTGTTTTGTAAGTTTCATATATTGTTGTATGTTATAATCATTTGTGTAATGGACTTGTCGATGTGATTATGTTGTAGCCCCATTTTGGTACAATGTCTTGTATTTAAATGTTTGTTGTAATGATTTGTTTGATGGTTGATGGTGAATGTTATTTTTTGTATATTAATATAGTTATTCATCATGGACATTGATGGACGGCGGTTATTACATCCTGGTCCACAGGACCACTCTATTCTTGCATTACAGGCTGATCATCGATCCAAGGACATCTGGCAGGGCATAGAGCTGCCTCTGTTGCACTGCAGGCGTAGTGATCGCACCGCTCGACAGTTACATGTCACAGATGAGTGTGTGCTCTGTCATTTGGTGATAGTTGACTTTTACGGGGCGCACAAGCTTGCGTCCAAGCAGCTGGACCATGCATTCATCAATGCACTTGTCGAGTGATGGCGTGTTGAGACGCATACTTTTCATCTTGCGATGGGAGAGGCTACGATCACACTACAGGATGTTGATGTTCTCATAAGCCTACCTATTGATGGTATGGCAGTGTCTGGGAGAGATAGTTGTCCGGCAGACACGACATGGCCAACATTATGTCAGCAGTTGCTCGGTTTTACACCGGCACATGGGGCTATCGAGGGGTCTTTCCTCAGGCTTTCAGCATTGCGAGGGCATTTGGATGGAGGTGTCCCAGTACATGCAGATGATGATTTTATTGCTTCTTATGCCAGAGCCTATATCATGCTCCTGATTGGTTCATACCTCTTCTTGGACAAGTCTTCTAGCAAGGTCAAGTTGATGTACCTTCCTTTACTTGCCGATCTTACATCAGCTAGTCAGTACAACAGGGGTAGCGCAGCATTGGCTTGACTTTATTAGGAGATGTGCATCCCCACTAGACGTGATACTAAGGACATCGGCGGATTGTTTGTTCTAGTACAGGCACATGCAAACTTATGTTTCATGTTTGTTTAAATTTATATTATTTATTGTAATGACAAATGTATGTGTTACACTACAACTTTTTTGGTTTTTTATATAGTTATGGGCATGGGAGCGTTTATTGCATATATGTCCTCAGCGATTACTCCCACGTGCTCCTTTACATGATGTACATCCAGACGTTGGCCTAGCAGATGATGTATCACCTGCACCGGTACATGGTGCTGCACCACATGTACCAGCACTTGATGACCTACCACCGGGGCCTCGTGGGAGTAGGTAAGATGCTTTATTATTCATTAAGTATTTTTTGTGCTATGCAGTTGAGATCTTGCACTTTTGGAGCAACACACGCCTACCCATGTCCTCAGACATTTTAGAGATCAGTTGGATCAGATGCACGATGACCAGGTATACAAGCGAAACTACTAGATGTTGTTGGTTGTTGTTGGATGTGTTGTAGTTGGTTGTTGTTGGTGTGTTTGTTGGTTGTTGGTGGGTTTTTTGTTGGTATGATTGGGTTTTTTTTATACTGCAGATGATATGGCAGCCATTTATCGCTGATGTGTTGGTCACTCTACCTGATTACTGTTTACGTGGGCAGAACTTATGGACTACCCGGGCCCTGTTCATATGTTTTGATGTGGTGGAGTAACATTTTTCAGATCGTGATATGCGACAGTTTGGATGAAGGCAACCCATACCAGCCTCATGTAATTCTAGTCGTGAACTGCATGCCACAAATAGGCGTGACAAACATGGTTATGACTGGACAATCGCACATCAGCGGTACATCAGGATGTGGAATCAGCGACGGGATTTTATTGTTCATGGCGAGCCTACGCTCGACATGATGGATGCCAATGATCCCTACATGGAGTGGTATCGGCGCATCACTAGGCTACTGATCGGACCACCGATGCCGCGCCCTGAAGTTGGTTTTCAGCCCGTCAGCAGTATCATGGAGCTAATGGTATGTGTTTACTTGGTATTTAAATAAAATGTGGTACATACATTATTTGCTTTTGATTATAATTGTTTTTTTTTTTGTTCTGCAGACACATACACTTGCACAGGTTTACCACACAACTCATGATGTTGTCAGTGGGGAGCCTGATATGGGGAGATATCAGGCGGCCATCAGGCAGATGGAGGAGCTAAGCTACCGGTGTTTGTTAGCTCTTTCTGAGCACACACGACTTGTGCAGCCTCCGGGAGCCAGTCAGCAGCCAGTTGTTGTAGCCCCAGTTCTTTCACGACAGCAGGGAGTACGTATACCTCGACCTCCAGCCGCACGCCCACATGAGCATACTCCCCCACCGGCCGTGGATATTTCTATGACATGTCCTATTAGAGGCAGGCCCATTGGCTAGATATGTTCCACAGACTATTGCAGAGGCAGACCCTTCTACACCATATGTCCCAACTTATGATTTTGACATTCCTACACATGTCGTTCACCATCAGTCTTCATCACCGCTTGATCGTCCGAATGTTATATCATGTGCGCCACCGCTGACCTCTCTCGGTATTGATGCATCAACGACTCCATTCACACCTACATTAGCATCAGGCGTTATGGCAGATACATCACTTCCATCTACTGGGCCATGTATTCCACGTATTGTTCCACCGATGCCTACACGACCTACTTCTCCTGTTCCATACGATGATCGCTCCGATGATGCTGAGATTCCAACTGAGGGAGTTAGGAGCCATCATTGTCACACATAGGTCGAGGCAAAAGTCGGCATGGAGTCGATCGGCATACACACCATACACATGATCCAATAGATGGTAGAGTCATAGAAGATATACCGCCTCCGCCTGATAGTCAGCGGCCCAAGCGACAGAGGAGCCACCGCCTTGTGGGACATAGTATTTTTTTTTATATTTGTTTGTATAAAATTTGTAAATATTATTGTTGTATATAAAATATGTTTGTGTTCATAGTTTCATGTAATGTTATTTCATTACTGCCTTTCAGATTATTTATTCAACACTCTAAAGACATGTTTGTTGAATAACATAACATAAATTATTTAAATTTAGATGAACATTACAAACTAGATTAGTGCACCATATTTCATCGAAACAAAATACATAAATATAATACGTAAACATCTTGCACACACAAGTACAACGACGAAAGTGTAAATATTACAACACAAGATTTCAAGGACACTTCTTAATGGGTCTTCATCTTCGTCAGACAGGTAATGGTCAAAAATACATCCAGCTTCACCACTCAATTGGTAGCTTAAACTTGCTTCTTGCATCCTCCCATCTGTAGCACGGTCGCTTGTAATACAGTGCAAATTGTACCGATTACAACGGATTGTCACTCGATTGTTCTCAACTTGAATGCGAAACAATGCTCGCTCTAATTGTTGAAGAGTGTTGATAGGCATACCAATGGCAACCTATCGAGGCATTCTTATGTTGTAAGAATGTAAATCTAAGCTTAGATTTTCTCTTTTTGTCAAGCGATATTGTCATTCCGTCATCATTGTGTTCATAGTTGTTAGTGAATAGCGTAATTGAGGATTCATTGGATAAAATAACTCATCCTCTAAAGCCCAATGATAACCCAGAGTTTCAAATAGGGTTCTCGGACCAAAATTCATTGTTAGAGATAAATTTTGTACATTGGACATTTAACATTAGTTCATATTTATAGGTAATTTATTTATGTTAGTATGCGATTGACATTAGAACATTATGTACTCACAGTCATGGACTACACAATAATATCTACTGACACTTTCTGACAGTGAACCATTGTGTAGTCACACAGACTGTCATTTAACCAGTGTTTAGTCACATCAACCTTGTGTGTTATCACAACGACTAATAATGATGCAATTGTCAGTCAGTGTAACTAGTTTTTATTCAGCAGCACTAGTGTATTGTCACGGGTTTTAAACGTATCACGGGTCGTGAATCACTATGACACAGGATGAATGAAGGTCTATTAAAATCAATAGACTACATTTCTCAGTGTGTTGTCAAAGTCACTGTGTACCAGTGTGTAGTCACACGTACTGCACAAATATCTTGTTACTGTTTGACCATCAACTCAAACATAATGGTGACTACACACTACTGCACTGTTGACAAATGTATTTATTTCAGACAATGAAAATCACTATAAAAACATAATATAGGGCGGGTCATATAACATGTATTGCATATTATGTCTACATCAGTGGCGCGAGCAAGTGATACCAGTTGTAGGCATGAACCAGTATGGTTATTACAAGAGCGAGATGATGATTACAAGAGTGAGAGATTTTTTGATCCAAATGAGTATTATGCCGGATTTTCATAGAGAGTGGGCTTTTCGTGCTAATGAATCACAGTCATTATGCACAGATTTGATAGAATTTGGTATACCGGTGCCACATAGACTTTCACTTGCCATGCCCCGAAAGAATAGAGTCAACTATTAAGCATCAGTTAAACGTATACGAAAGGAAAATAATAGGATGATGCTCCGTAAGTGCCGATATTATATGCTCCACATAGCATCTGACATGGTCACAACTGCATTTGGCAGGGAGTTAACAGCTACTGAGCGATCTAAGGTTTTGTCTAATGAACAATACCTATCAGATGAGTATATGTCTGATGAAAATTAAAAATTTTAATTACTGTTCACCTTATTAAGCATATAACGTTTATGTCTATGTCCTATTTACTTTAATCATCATTGTTACTTTATAAGATTATTCAGTGTGTTGTCATATGTCAACTTTTTCATTGTCATATCTTGTAATTGTCAATGTATGCAATGTGTTGTCACTTTAATCAATCTATGCAGTCTGTAGTCAATCTTTGCAGTGTGTTGTTAATTTAATCAATTTATGCAGTGTGTTGTCATATCTAAACTTTTTCATTGTCATTTTTTATCACTGGCAAATCAGTTCCAAACTATGCCGAACCGAAAATATATATACTACCTTTCACAGTTGTGTAAATACATCACCATCAAACAAAATGTATAGGAGCACATCACATGCAAGTTCTTCTTCACGCAATCACCAAAATAGTTCATCTTCAGGTAACAAACGTGAACGCTCAACAGACAGCTCAACATCGCTGAACAAAGTTCCTTCTATCGAATCATATACCGACTCCAGTGGTGTCACGTGGTATGGACGAAAACGTGCATTCCGCAATGAACTCATCGACCCTTATCACCCATTCAGACAAGCTGGACATGTAATTGTTGGGCCTGCAACTGATTATCTACCTCCAGGTACTCATATCGAATCCATACCAATATGGCAACAATTATATGATAAATGTTGTGACCTTGAAATATTTTGTCGTTGGCATGGAATTGTAGTAACAAAAGCACATTTGACTGATATTTACAATTCACAGAATTCAAACAATCATGACGAGGTCATTTCAAGGCTTGAACGTGAAAATGATCAAATGCAGCGTCGTCTTGATCGTTTCCACGCACTCGATTATACTAAAATAGAGCATTTTGATCCTGAATATGTCGAAATTGAAATTTTAGAGGATCTGTTACTTGTTTTTGATCCTGAGTTTTCTGATTCTCTGATTTGGACGATGATGCGTCTGACACTTTTATCCCATCATGTTTATGTGTACTCAATAATCCTTTATGTTATTTTGAATATCAACCACGTTGTTGACATCTTATTTTTACGTTTATACGTTCTGAATAACTTAAATTTTTTCAGAACGTATACTTCTCGAGGAGAAATTATTGGGTGTAACGCTTACAGTTTGTATGGGACCTTAAATTTAATTATATGTATATGTTTTTAATTTTTAAACTTTGATATGCTAAAAAATATATGTATTTTTTAATTATCAAAATTTATTTATTGAATGTAATTCAATTTTTAATTAAATAAAAATATACTCATCCTCTCACAAAGAGAGGGAGCAAAAAATTTTTAGATATTATTGTTCGGGACATTCAAAATTCAAAATTCAAAATTTTTTTTTGAATGTAATTAAATTTTTAAATAAATAACATAAACGAAATTTATGTATTTTTAAAATATAAAAATTTATTTATTAAATAATTATTTTTTTAAATAAACATTTAACATTTTACTCAAAAAAAAAAAGACACAAAACCTATCACTAACGAATAAATTAAAACTCAAGATAAAATTTAAGGTCAGTTATGATAATTGGTGTGCTTGGTCTTGTCGATGGAATTTGATATGTTAAAAAAATATAAGTATTTTAAAATTATCAAAATTTATTTATTGAATGTAATTAAATTTTAAATAA